TCTCGTGATTCCTTTGTACTTTCACTACTCTTCAATATGATCTTTTTAGACATTCAATCTTTGATGTCAAACTTAGTAGAATCTTTTAAGGACTATTCTCCTATTTGTACCAATTTTATTTCATTCAAACTCCACATTTCGAAACCATATTATCATAAGATGTGTCTCGTGTTTTGCACGCGAAATATCAAGCGTGGAAACTACTGTCCCACTCTCAGTGTGGACATGAATAGTGGTTCCCATGCCCAATATGTGCATATATGATATTTTTCTGCTCCTCTTTTGAACGTGAAACATTGTACTCCGCGCCAATTTCAGGCGTAGATAGGCAAAACTAAGAATTTTTCAAACCCTAGAAAGGTGATTTTTTTTTAAAAATTAAAACCGTATTCATGTAAGTGAAACCGCATTTATGAAGTCCCTTTTACAATTATGAATTAACTAGGAGTAATTATTATTAATTGCAGCCCAAGTAACCCAAACGCGCTGCTATTTCAGTTTTTCTTCACAAAACAAATAAATGGGTACCGACGAACAGCAACCGGGTACCAAACCCGAATTCCGCCGGTTCCTCACCGCCGCCGAGTACTTCCTAAGCGTCCGCCAGTTCGACGACTGCCGTACGTACGCCGTCCGCGCCCGTGATTCCGACCCGAACCACCCTGCCCCGACCCAAATCCTCTCCATAGCCTCCGTCCTATCCGCCCCGAACATCTCCTCGACCCGACCCGACTACTACTCCGTCTTCAATCTCCCCCACTTCGAGCCGGACTCTGCTCGAATCATGTCCGCCTTCAAAACCCTAGCCCCTATTCTCAACCCGAAAGATAACCCGTACCCGCTTTCGCCCGAGGCGTTTGCCGCCGTCCTGAGCGCGTGGTCCGTGCTGTCGAACCCTGCGAAGAAGGCGATGTTCGACGACGAGTTGAGGAGGAGCCTCGACGCCGCCGCCGCCGCAGGCGGCGGCGGCGGCACTTTCTGGACGGTATGCCCTTATTGCTACTACGTCTACGAATACGACAAGGCTTTCCAGGACTGCTCCTTGAGGTGCGCGAACGAGGGGTGCAGGAGAGTGCTGCACGCGGCGGCGATAGCAGAGCCGCCGCCGCCGGAGGTGGTGGAGAAGGGCGGTTACTTGTGCCCTGGGTTTGTGCCGCTTGCAGTTCGCAACGAGGAAATTGTTGGAGAGAAATTGTGGGGCCCGTTTGCAAGGAAGGTGTTTGATAACGGTTCTTCCGGCGACGGAGGAGGGCTTGTGGTTGATATCTCCGACGACGAAACTCCGTGTACCGAAGAAGATGCTGAAAATAATTTTGAAAAATTGGGATTTCAGGATCATTGTAGTAGTGGTAAAAGGAAGCAAGTCGAAAGCAAAGAAGATAGTGATAATTTGGATGGCAATGGTGGAAAAACCGAAAGCAGGGGTATAATCGGAAACGACCGTGCGTGTGTGGAGAGCGGTGAGAAGGGGGTGGGGAAGAGAAGGAAGAAATCAGTACCGTGGAATTCGAAGAAGTTGATGGGAAGAGGGTTTAGAATTGAGAGCAATCAAGCTCGATTCTTCGTTAATGGAGAAAGGCATCATAATATGAATGTGGATGAAGTATTTTTCGGTAATAATGTAGGGAGTAGTAGTGGAGTGGAGTTTTTTGAAAGGGGTGATGATGATGATGTTTTCGTTGGGCTAAATCTCGATTTTTGATTTGGCAAAATGGAGTTCTACGAGAGTTTTGTAAATGTTGGCTAATTTAATGGGAGATTTGTAAAGTTTTCTACACTTTGATTCGCAGAATCTATACAAGAAAACGGGTAATTTATCTTCGATCCCTTTATTTACGTAGTTTCGTAAACTTGTAGCTTTTCTTGGGGATACCAACTACTTAAGAAGTATTTTTTGGTAATTTTACGCGATCTTTGCATATTGTTAACATTAATCTGTCTTTGTTTCTGCATGAAAAAACTTATGATAATGACAATCTATTTGGTTGAAGGATTACTAATTCTACTCGTTTCCGGTCATTTTCTAATCTTAGAAAGACTTTCGGCTTTAAACTGTATTCGAATCGATCGTCATTTCCATATTGTTTAGGTTGCATTCTTGATGTACTTTGTTAATGTATGGCTTCTTTGTAGGTTACAAATGTATAAATACGGGGTTAATGGAGGGTAAAAATAAGTTTAAAGAAAAAGATTAATTTTGGTCAAATTTTATTTAAAATATCCATCACAATTTTAATTTCATAAGCAATGCAGATTGGCTCGAGCTCAATTAGAACAAAATGGGGGGAAAAAAGTACAAACGATCAAGTTACTCTAAGTTGATTTGTCTTTTGGCTCGTTTAAAACTCGTTCGGGCTCGACTCGATTGCTTATCAGACAAATTAAAAAAGTTGTCCAAGCACAATTTTGAAAGCTTGATACAAATTGAAACAAGCTTGAACAAACATGCGTTCGACTCGACCTGATCCAATTACACTCCTGTGGTAGATTTCAAATCATTTCAATCAAGAATCGTTTTAGCGTTCGACTTCCTAATTGTGGTGGATTTCAAATTCATATCAGTTAGAATTATTTTAAAACATCCATTACCTAAGATTTTTATGTCTTAAACAAGTATATATATAGTAACCCCCCCAATCAGAACTCCCAACACTCTTTCATCAATTCCAATTGCACCCCTATAAATATGTATCAGAAATTGCCATTCATCAAATATACATCAATTACCAGAATAAAATATTTATTTATTTTCAGCCCTCAAACTTTCATCAATTAATCAATGGCACCCTCAAACTTTCTCCTTGTTCCATCCTTAATAATCATGGCTATCTCACTCTCAAGCCTCCATCGAAGCTTAGCGGACTCCTTCTAGCATATTACATAATGTACGTGTCTCCATATGAAGTTCTTTATAAAGTGACTGTAATGTAAATTATACTGCTCTTAAAATTTTTGGTTGTCTAGTGTTTACATCCACTTTGGCTGCAAATAGACCCAAGTTTCAGTTTAGACCTCTAGTATTAAATGATATAAATTGTATGATGTTCATACCAAAACAGTCTTTTATTCTAGAGATGTGGTTTTTTACGAGGATCAGTTTCCCTTTAAATCTTCTTGTTGCAACACTGATTTACATGTTGTGCCTTTATCTCAACATGTTCATTCTTCATGCTATGATCACCATATTTCTCAATCCTTATCTACTTTTGATTTACCTATCTGCTCTGAAGTTGTTCCAGTCACTAGTACCACTCATACATTAGAGAAGTTACCTCGAAATCAGCTTGTTTTGAGAAGGACCATTAAGGCCATCAAACCTCCTATTCACTTGCAAGTTTATCGGTGTAAAAATGTCGTTGTAGGTAACCAATTTCTAATCACATTTCTTATGATCAATTGTCTCAATGTCACAAAGCTTTTACTTTTAGTATTGCTCTTGAAAGTGAGCCGTATACCTACAAACATGCAGTAAAGAATCCTTTATGAATTCAGGCTATGCAAGAAGCTAGATTACAGTCTCAGAGGATAATACCTAATAAACATGTCATTGGTTTTAAATGGGTAAATAAACTTAAAAGAAAGCCAGATGAGACCATAGATAGATACAAATGAAGGTTAGTTGCAAGGGGTTTTACTCGGTTAGAGGGAGTAGATTTTACGTAAACCTTTAGTCCTGTAGCTAAGCTTGAAACATCTTTGGTATGGCTTAAGACATGCTTCAAGACAATGGAATCGTAAATTCACACACAAGTTCTTATCCAACTTTGTTTTGTGCAATCCAAGGCAGAATATTCTCTATTCACTAAAGGCTCAGGTACATAGTTTATTACATCATTGGTATATGTATGTTGATGATATTATCATTGCATGACCAAATTTCAATCTCATTGCTGCTCTAAAAGATCATTCTAATATAAGCCCACCAGGCACAAGAAAATCCACCATAGGCATTTGTGTTTTTTTAGGGGATTTCTTAATCTCTTAGAAATCTAAAACGCCTTAGCTATCGTGGCAAGTGAAATTCTTTGGATTCAGCAACTTCTCAAGGATTTCCATGTCCGGGAATTGTTCACATAGCTTCCAATCCATCTTTCCACGAAAGAACGAAACATATAAAAGTGGATTGTCATTTTGTCATAGAACACATCAATGAAAGGAGCTATTAGACTTATGCGAGTTAAAGATACATATTTACCAAGGCTTTGCCCTTGCCACATTTTTCATACATTCAATCCAAGATGGACATCAAAGATATAACATGTCCATCTTGAGGGGAGAGTATTAAGTATAAAAATGTATTTTATATTTTGTGTAAATATTAGCAGTTAGATCTGTTGTACTTAAGTTTATGTTATAATCCTACGGTTCAGATAATAGATACACTTAAACATTTACAAATTAATACAGTTGGGACCATCAACATTTCATTAATTTAGCGAAATATTAACTCATCGATAAATTAATAATTATTAATTTATACATTAATTAATAACTTATTAATTTATGAAATTACTTTTATTATTATTTTCAATAAATACATTTTAGTTTTTATTTTTTTACTTGTATATTATTCATTGTACCATTAGTTCAATGCACTATATATAGAGCCCGTTGCACGAACAGAAGCACTTAAGGCAGCAATGATATATAACAATTTTATGTTGAGTTATGAGAAAACTATATTGAAAGTTCTAACCATGTTAAGAAAAGTGAGGGACGAGATTGATGGTAATGTGAACTTCAACAAGAAACAAACGATAATTAAATTAATATTTTATTAAGCCTTCATATATCTATAAAATTTGTACATGTACCATGTAATTTAAGAATTATTTTTGTGCATTATTAATTTATATATTATATGGGGCTTCTTAAAATTTTCGAATAGTGTGTATTATCTTATAAATTTAGGGAATTATTAATTTAGTGCGTTGTCCCCAAGTCGGAACCGGAAATAAATATTATTTAAGCGATGTTATTAATTTATCAAGGTTTTACGGTAGGTTGATAACTATTTTCATATAAATACTCGATAGTTTAGCTTCTTCCCCAATTAATGAATTTTATTCTACTTCAATCTGTAATATGCTCTGATTCAATATTTTGTAGTTATAAAGAATTACGTAATCTCTTAATCGAGAAATAATTAAATCATTAAAATTGAAGTAATTTGTTGGTACACCTACTGTATTCTAAAAATGCCACAAGTTTTGAGAAGATAGGTTGCCTTCTCTTAACTAATTTTTGCCATATATATAATGGGTCCATTAGATATACACCCCTAGAATGTAAAATATATAGGCATAAGTCCACCCCTAAAAATCTTTCTTTGAGATACACCCCTGGCCCAAAAAAACCCGAAATTACCCCTGAACCCCAAACCCAGCCCATATACGGAATTACACAGATTTCAAAATCAATTCCCAAAATCACCCGTCCCTCCACTATCAAAACCTACCAAAAAAACCACCGGAAAAATCAACCTCCTCTCTGCAAAATCGCACCCATCTTCTCACTGCGGGGATTCACCGGAAACGGCAACCCAACCGAGGAAGGCTAGGCATCTTCGTCGATAGCAACCCAAACAACCGCAATTCTAGTCAACTTCCGCTCTTCAAAATCGTATACCACCAACAGTAGTCACCTTCCATCAATGGCGAAGAAGACACCGGCAAAACGTAAGTTTATGGCTACATGCAACAACATACTTTGTTTTCCCCCTCCGTTGGTACCTAAAACCCCCTTCAAAAATTTTTTTTCCAGGCCGTAATCGAAAGGAAAAAATGGCACAGGCTGAAAACCTATCAACAGGTACTACCCTACTTCAACCATCTCACTACTTCAAATTTGTAAAAAAACCGTAGTCATGTATCCAATTTTGGTGTCTGATTGTTGTTACCATTAGTAGTAATTCGTAGTCATATTTGCATATGTGGTTACATTCATGCATGCCACAGATTTTGTGCATTTTTGTGTATGGGTGTTTTTTTCATGGATAGTACTTCGTAGTCATATTGTCATATGTGCTCACATTCATGGATGCTGTTTTGTTTGTGCTGTTTTTGTTTGTGGGTGTTGCTGTCACTGGTAGTAATGCATAGTCATATGTAGTCATATGTAGTCACATCCATCCTCTGCTTCAGCATTTGTGCTGTTTCTGTGTGTGGGTGTTGTTTTCATATATAGTCATATCCATCCTTTGCTGAAGCAATTGTGCTGTTTTTTGTTGTTGTGAGTGTTGTTGTCGTGGCTAGTTCTGGATAGTCATATCCATATGTGTAGTCACATAGATACTTCAGCTTTTGTGTGTTTTTCCTGAGTCTTGGTGTTGTTGTCATGGGTAGTACTGCATAGTCATATTTGCATATGCAGTCACATTCCTTCTTACTACATCCTGCTTACTACCTCATGTGTGTTTTGTGTGTGAGTGTTGTTTTCGAGAATACTTATTAGCAGTCATGTTCACACCCTAACATATATATAAACATCTTTATGCAGGTACTGAAACAAATGAACAAATAGACACACATAAGAAGGGAAAATGGACACAATACCGAGCCAACATGCGATCAATCGTGACCTTCTTCGAAGATATACACCTACGACCACCTCACTATGCATGTCTTCGCCGTACCCCATTCTACCATCTCGTTCTACCGTTCGCAAAACACAAACTCAGCAGAGATGACGTCGCAGGCACACAGAATGGAACTTTCAAAATAATGACGTCATACAGCAAAATAGAAAGGGCATTCCATATAGGAGGCAAAAATATTACAATCACGCCACAAGATTGCAAGTTAATCTTTGGCATCCAATCTGGCAACACACGGATGACTTTTGACTGGTCAAAGAAGCCGCACCAAGGACTCGCAGCACGAAGATTCGCCGCACACCCATCGCTCCACCAAAAAACTTTGAAACACCAGCTTCTCCAGTGCATAGATAGCGATGACGATGAAGACATTGAAGATGTGGTCAGATTAATAATCCTACACCTTATGTCAACCGTCCTTTTCAACACTTCAGCTGAAATCGTAGCTTGGTGGATGTTCAAATACTGCGATGATATCGACCAAACAAATGACTTCAACTGGGCCAGGGGGATAACGGATTTCTTGTTTAAGCAAATCCACACATCAAACACACATGACAAAGTCCGTGGTTGCATACCACTTGTGCTGGTAAGTATGAATAGTCACTTATAGTCACTTACAGTCATGTACAGTCACTTATAGTCACTTTTAGTCTTGTACATTCACTTATAGTCACTTGCAGTCATGTACATTCACTTATAGTCACTTGCAGTCATGTACATTCACTTATAGTCACTTGCAGTCATAAACATTCACAAATATGACTAATTGTTTATGTTTATTTACGCAGTATTGGATGTGTGAGCGTGTATCAATCGTCCCTCCAGTGGCTGATTCTGCTTTTCCAAGATTTCGGCGGTGGGATATCTCCGAGCTTGCATCTACATTGAGCAGCAAAGACATGAACGATATCGATCCACAACTCGTCAACGAGAATCCGCTGATCCCAACAGAGCAAGAACAACAAATCTTAGATGGAAACTTGGTCCTGGACGATATCAGCAACGATGCAAACGATGAACAAAACAACGATAACAACAACAGCAATGCTAGTGTTCATTCTGCCACTCCTTCTGATTCTGAAGAGAATGTCCCAATCAAAAACTGGTACAAAAAGAAGCAGTCGTCAGATGAACTCAAGAGGCTGTTGGAGGTAGAAGCAAAACAAAAGGCAGAACAGGAGGCCCAAGTGTCGAAACTGCAAGCTGTCGTAGAAGAACTTCAAATGGAGATAGTCATGTTAAAAAACGACAAGCAGGTACTTGTTGACGAAAAGGCACATGTCGCTCTTCAACTTGCAAAACTACAGGACGAGGTCGCGCTTAGCAATGATGATGGGCCATCTTTCAATATCTTGACCCAAACACAGCCGAACCAGAGTGAGCTGCAACAAAAAATCAAAGAGAATGCAGAACTGAAGGCAGAGAATGAATCCCTCATCAAACGTCTTGAAGAGTTGACAAATGCTACAACAACTGTACAACCCGAAAAACCTTTTTCACTGACACAAGAGTTTGAAGCAGAAAATATCTCACTCACAAACATGCCTGAGCACACAGCAGCCAAAATCTTCTTGGAAGCTGAAATCACCCTCCTAAAATCAGCTGAAAAAACTCATCTTGATAAAATTAGAGAACGGGATGAAAAGATAGCCGAGTTGGAAGCTAATTGTGCAGAATATGCAAAGGCACTTGATGAGCGCCCACCAATACATTCGGACAGCGACTTTGAGATATGTGAGGAAGATATCGAGGCCAAGCTAAAGGACCCAAAATCTGCAGTGGGAAAGCGTACAAGGTCAAAAAAACATGAAGTCACACCACGTAGCACCAAGAAAGCACGTAGGGATTTCAGATACAAAAAATACAACCCATACATCGGCATGAGTGTGAGAGACAAGGCCATAATAAACACAATGGCAGATGAAATAGTGCATGGGAAGTAAGTAAACTCTAACTACAGTCATATATCCAGTCATCTATATGAAAATATTATACTACTTCATACAGTCATATATAGTCATATGACTATATGACTATTAGTGACTAGTTCTATATGACTATTCATATATGTAGTCAACAGTAGTCATATAGTCATATGACTACCCATGACTATCCATGACTTCACAATCACATGTCTTATTCATACTTCAAAAAATGTTTATAAATGCAGTAGAACAGTGTGGAAGAATCCAGATGGCAATATTCATGTTCGGATGGCTGACATCTTTATCATCCTCAGAAAGGAAGATATTTCCGGCGAGGTAAAAACAAATTTAATAACACTGTACAACCTATCCTGCTCACGTTATGTACACAAATTTAATAACACTGTACAATCACAGGTTATAGATGCTTACTGCGAGATATTGGGACATCAGCAAGCTGCAGGGTTGTTTGAAGGTAGCGATTATGAGTCGCTTAAGGGAACAAGCATGACGTTCACCAGCATGCTACTGGTACAAAGTCGATAATATAATTGTAATTGTTTTTATAGAAAAGAAGTATATGTTTTCCCGTGGTAACTAATCAGTAGTTCTAACAGACATCGTTGAGGCAGTCCAAAAATAAAACATTCCGCATACCAGCAGAAGTTAGCAAACATAGATACCTCATCTTCCCATTACACTCCGACGGTAATCCTCAAACCGGGGCTAACCACTGGACACTGTTAATATTGGACAGAAATTCAAATGAGTGGCGTTTCTACAACTCATTACATCCTCGCAAAGGTCTTAAGGACCCATACCTGATTGACGCCACCGACATGGTAAACAACTACTGAATATTTATTTCCAGCAACTACTTATTTAATAAACAAATATCTAATTCATTCATGTACACAGAAAATGTATGTCGAAAACACAGCAAGGAAGTTTAACATCTCCGCCATTCCCATAAACGCACCGCTGCTTGAGGTAAATGACTCACCCCAACAAGCAGATGATTCAAGGGATTGTGGTATTTTTGTCCTGTTTGTTATAAGGAACACATTCCGCCAAATTCCACTGGTTACCAACGACGCTGAGACCGGTGTCGATTGCATGAGGAGGTCCGTTGTTGAATCATTGCTCCACTACAAGATTAATTAGACAATTATTAGTCCTATTAATTGAAGCTTTTATTTCTGTAAAACTATTTGCACCAAGACAGAATCTTATGTAGTTGTACTTTTATATGACTATTTTGTAGTTAACATTGTGACTATATATGACTACATATGACTATATAGTCACATATAGTTACATTGTCTTATGACTATCGTTGACTACTTGTTTATGATCTACATATTTTGGTCAGATTACAATATGACTATCTGTGACTATGTAGTCACCTATAGTCACATAGTCGTATGACTATCTGTGACTACTTATTAATAATTTGTATTTTTAGGTCAGATGACAATATGACTACCTGTGACTACATAGTCACCTATAGTCACATATTCATATGACTATTTAAGACCCCGTAGTTGTAAATACTCATATGACTAAAGTGACTGCAGGTGTTAAAATCCAAACACAGAAAACTATACTTACATGTATCAGTAATAGCGAAATTCATTACTCGAAAAAACAGATCATGTACTTGGAAACTCAAGAAAAAAATTCACAACCTATGTTCCACACAAATTCAAGGCGGTAGAAAAAGAAAAAAAGAAATTGAAATACAATTCTCTTCCACTCAAGTCTCATTCAGGCCTCCTGCACGTTTTCTTGTTGTGATTGCCCATACGGTTGCATGAGCTGCATTTTATCTTCCTCTTAACCTTCTCACCTCTCGAAGGAATTCTCTTCACCTTCGGCCTGCCACGCCGAATATGATAATCTGGAGGTCCAACCAAAGGCAAATCACCATCAAAATCTGGCTTGACAAATGGATAAATACTGTGCGAATACGTGGTTTTATAACACTCAACCGTGTAATAGTAGTCAACATATGCATAACCATCATTATTGTTATGGAACAGAACACACGCAGCATGTATACACGGCAGACCGTTGACTTGCCACGCTCTACACGTGCACGACCTGTTGCGAATGTCAACAACAGCTGTTGGAGTACTAAGCACCTCGTAAATGTACTCCGATGCCCTCTTTGTTGTCAAAACTCTACTGTCATGTACTAGTTTATTAACAGCACCCTGAATGGGAGTGCAAAGTACAGTTGACATAACCGCAGCCTCCTCTGCCCTTACACACATTTCCACCATCATAATACTCCTAAGACCATCAACCACATCTGTTATAGGCAGGCCACGAATGCCGCCAATCTTCATATTCCACGATTCTGCAACACTAGATGCCATCTGCCCATATCTATTCCCCTCAAAATGTGCACAAGTCCAGTTGTTATACGGAAGGTCTGCTAGAAAATTTATAATCCTTGTACCTCCAGTTTCTATAAACTCCTTTATATGCACATCAAACTCAGATTTCGTAGGAGCGTAGGCACAAGCATTAAACAAATGAGCCATCTTCTTTCGAAAACCAGATGGACAACCTCTACATTTACTTGACAAATTTAATTGCAAGTGATACAAGCAGTATATATGAAGACAATCAGGGAATATATTTTTCACCCCATCCAAAATACCATGATTGCGATCCGAGAAAAACGTCACCACACGATCCGTGCCAATGCAAACCCTCAAATGAGTAAGAAAGTAAGCCCAATTGCTATCAGATTCTTCACTAACTATGCCAAATGCAACTGGGTACAATTCTGTGTAAAAAAAGGAAACAACAACAGCCTTAGTCATATATAGTCATATATAGTCATATATAGTCATATATAGTCATATATAGTCATACATCACATTAAAATGTACAGAAACTTACTATTATGACCATCTTGCGCAATTGCAGTTAACAAAATGCCCTTGTGTTTGTTGTGCAGAAATGTTCCATCCAGGGAGAGTGACGGTCGACATGACTTAAAACCCGACAAGCATGCACCAAAAGCAAAAAAACAACGTCGAAACTTCATCGTATCTGCATCGATGTCAAGATTGTAAACGCTATCCGGATTGGTACGACCAAGTTCTTCAAAGTACGACGGTAAGTGTGAGTATGAACTAGTATCATCACCAAAAACATGTTGCTTCCCTGCCGTGACAGACCTCCAAGCCACATAATAGCTAATGTCGACTCCATAATTCAGCTTCATATCCACAACAACATCATTAGCAACCATGTCTGGCTTCGCTCGTACCAAATTAACTATCATACTAGCAATAATGTCAGACGTCATTCTATTCTGCCTTGACGACCCAAAAGAAGATCCACAAGTGTGATGCTTCTCAAATTTCTTTATATAAAAATAACCATTGGCCTTCTCAACTGATGCGTGTATCCTCCACATACATTTCTTTAATGTCCTGTGTCTGCATTCAGCTGTGACACGTACACGCTCATTCTTAACGTATGTAAACTCAAATCCAGTTTCCACCGAATACATGCATAAAGCTTTCCTAAACTCCACAGCACCTCCACGAAAAACTTGACCAACATCCTTGATCAAATCAGCCCAGTTAGCACTCATCAACTGAGTTTGACCACACATTCCAGCATTTTGCACGTCATTGATTCCACTACCTTGACCAAATTCGAACGCAACCTCGTCATGCAGCTGTGTGCGATTAGACAAACATGATACACTTGATACCACATCAGGAACAACTCCCTCTCTTTGTTTAACACTCACTTCAACACGATCAAGAGACATATCGCGCGCTAATGACAGCATGTAAAACACATCGTCATCATCACACAACACACCCTCCCCATGACCAACAACCGTATACGTGAGAGACATGGTGTTCTGGTGCAACGAGCCCCATTTGGCCCTTACGTATCCAACCAACTCTTGAAATCCAAAGGAAGTAACACATTTTCTCACACCAAATAATTCTCCAAACCTCATTATTAGTACAATATTTGTAGACATTCTGGCCCTGTAAACAAAAAGTACTGTATATGACTACTGTAACATATATTTAACTACACTGACATGCACCAGATCTATGATGCTAAACATGACTACTCTTGTGTATACCAATACAAATCAAAAAATATACACAAACAAATTCAAAAAAGCAAATATGTATATGACTACTCTAATATAAAACAGGTGTATGATGCTAAACATGACTACTCTGGTATATAACAGGTGTATGATACTAAACATGACTACTCTGGTATATATCAAATACAAAATTCTGAAAAAATCAAACCGACACAATTCTGTATATGCAACAGGTCTACGATGCTAAACATGACTACTATGGTATATATAATTACAAATCTCTAAAAAAATCAAAAAACAATGTAATATCAAAATGCATAAACACAAACACAATTGACGAATAAAAACCCCATACTGTACAAAAACACAGGAAAATGCATAATCACAATTCAAAAATCAACGAACACCCAGCCGCACATCATGATCATAAACAAAAACGAGCCATGAAATCTCTGCAAAAAAAATTAAAAAACGAACCTTAAGGAAGCGATTGAGATGGTGAAAGCTGAACCACGATCGCAAATCACGCTAAAAACGCCCAAAAATCTGAAACCCTACCCAATCGTATAAGGAAGCGATTGAGATGGAGAAAGCGCGAGAGAGAAATCACCGTGAAAAACACGGCCGGGAGGAGGGAGAAAAATAAGCTGCTGCTTCCTTCTCTACAGTTGGGAAATTTCCTTGCCCAAAAAAACAGAAAATAAGGGTAAAATAGTAATATCCTATGTCCTCAGGGGGGTCTACCTAATTAAGTTCAGAATCTGGGCTTTTGCCTTAGAGAGAAAAAACCATTGGGCCTCCACATATATATTTTCAAAAGTAGGGGGTTATCCCACATTTCCCCATATATAATTTATAAAAGATTTAAATAAATGTTGTTAATAAAGTCTAATTAATCAAAGGAAGTTAACCTAATTACTACTTCTTCATCAATTCCACCCCTATAAATATGTGATACAACTTCCCATTCATATATATATCAAAAAGCAGATTAAAATATTTCTTTTTAGCCCTCAAACTATCATCAATTAATCAATGGCACCCTCAAACTTTCACCTTGTTCTATCCTTAATAATCATGGCTATCTCACTCTCAAGCTTCAATGGAAGCTTGGCGGCACGTAACCTACTCCAAACTTCTCTCCCGCCACTGCCGACGATTCCGCCACTACCAACCGCCACACTGCCGCCACTTCCAAACTTGCCAGCCGCCACACTACCGCCATTGCCCGCCATGCCGAACTTGCCAGCCACAACACTACCGCCATTGCCCTCCATGCCGAACTTGCCTGCTGCCACATTGCCGCCATTGCCATCCATCCCGAACTTGCCGGCCGCCACATTGCCGCCACTGCCCGCCGTACCTACCATTCCAACTACAATGCCTTCTTTCCCGTTTCTCTCACCACCACCCTCAAACTAGTCATTCGGGGGATACACCATGCCGTTATTCTTTCGTCACCATTTTCATTCATTCAAGGACTGCATTTCATGATTGGTGCTCGTTTTCTTTTCGTTCTTTTTTTTAATTTTTTTCGATAATAAGTTTCTCTGCAGTAGTTTCCTTCA